CGAGCAGTCTGTCTTTTTCTTCAGATTTAGTGAGAGGAGTGCACGCACGCGCGAGCGTTGAGCGGCGAAGCCGCGAGACGCGAGAAACAAGGGAGGCAGACAGAGCCTAGCGCCTTCAGTCGCGCGCGTGGTCATTTGCGTGTCTCAGGCGTTTTGTTCGACGGACCAAGAAAAGAGAGAGACTGCTCGTAGTCTACAGAAGCCCTGTTGTGAAAGACATCATGCAGTACAGAAAGCATTCTATTTATTGCCCTGTTTTATAAGATTATTACTATGCCTTGGATACTATTTTACAGTATGGATGGCTCTGAAGGATCGAGAGTTCTAAATAAATTTACACAGTCAAATATATAGTGATCAATCTTGCTTCATCATTCCTAAGACAGTCCTTTCAAATATTCTACAGAAAAAAAATAGGAGATCAACATACGTAAACTTTATTTTTACACTTCAAAACTATGATATTTTTTCCGATCCCACCTTGACGTGATGTTTTCTCCAGGATTATAGAAAGGATTGCAAAACATGTCTGTATAAGCAACATGAAGTTTCCAAAACATCTGCAAGGAAAAAAGGGACAGAAATGACCTAAGAAATCAAAAGCTTCAATGGTGAAGGTAAACTTCAGACAACTAGAAACGGCAATGTACCACGTGGCATTGTGCGAGCTTTTGCAATTTCATGATCTGTAAAACAACGTTGTTGCAGAAATCCTTTCACCAACTCCAATGAAATAGACCAGTGTGAAAAACAAAATGTGTGTGATAACTTGGAGAAAATGCAACAAGTAGTTATTGCTAATCTTTTGCTGGAAATAATAGAACGAGGGTAGTTTAGGTTCATGGCTGGGCTCTTGCAGAGCCTGGTGGCCCCTGGTGCTCAACTTTTGCTCTCAGGCAAAAGATATGTCCAGGATCGATCTTGTTAGCAAAAATTTGCTAGAAAATTTTTGTTGGCAATTGTCGCAAACGAAATAATTGAGAAAAAATTATGTAAGAAAATCACCTACATTTGCCACAAAAATCGCAAGAATAACAAATGTAACAAGATTCAAGACTTAGAAAGAGAAAAGGCCAAGAAGGACCCCGAAAAGTCCGCAAATGTCGCAAAAATAACAAGGATTTTTCTTGCTACAACCCCGGACAAAACTGTTGAGACAATTCCATCTATTTTCCAACTTTTGCCCCTACTCCCGTCTCCTCTAAACAGAAAAAGTAAGCTCCCTCCTCACCTCCTGCAGGGCTGATCGACATCACTGAACGCTGGTGCCAGCTACGGAAATAGAAGCTTATGGAGATGACACAAGGCTCCACTTCGATGGGGAGTCTGACTTTCCAAGGTTTCTTGACTCGGATCTTCAAAGAACTGACCAGATTTCCCAGACGAAAGTAGCCTGTTCCGGCTCCGAGATGGTGGTGGAAAGTCGTTCAGTAAAAAGAAATGCGAAAAACGCGCGGGGGCTGGAGAGAGACAGGGCGGCGGAGCCTGTACGCATTTTTTTAACGGCCTGTTCCGGTATATCAGCTCCTGATATACCCTCTGATTGGTCAATTGTGACAGTTAACATCATCACCTAGTAGCGTGGTCATCAGTTTGTCATCACCAAGATGGCTAACGAGAATCGCGCGTGTGATCTTCATGAATCCTAGTCTGCTAGGACACGTTTTTAGTGTCGTCACGCAACGCGGGGAGGAGCGTTGCGTGACGACACTAAAAACGGCTGTGTAGCAGACTACATGAATCCGCGTTGTCTTGTGCTTTGGACGAGTGTCTGCGACTTGGCTCCCGGTAAATATGTTTTCGGTATTATGCCCACCGGTTTCGGCAAAAGTTTAATCTTTCAGCTATTCCCACGCTTGGCTAAAGCTGCTCTAATCCTAGAAAACTCTACGATAATAGTCGTTTCGCCGCTGATATCCGCTATAATGCGAGACCAAGTGGAACAGCTGAAAAAGCTTGGATTTTCGGCCGCAGCTATTTGGCATCGGTGAAGAGGGAGAGGAGGACGAGAAGAAAGCGAGAGAAGGAAAGTGCGAAATTGTTTTTCATACTTACGCATACCCGGCCAACTGTCGATTGCGGATTCTTTGGACACTGTTAAGATCTCAAAGAGGTTTGCTTGTGCCAACGAACTAAGCAAATGACATTTTGGGAAATTGGGGTAGGGCTATGGTCAACGGCCCACTTTGTATATAACAGTGGCGGATCTAGGGGAGGAGCCTGGGGGGCCCGGGGTAGCTTTGTGCTTCTTCAGCGGACGAAACAGAATATAAATTATCAGACAACTTAGTGTAAGCTTTGGCTTTCCGTTGTTTAATACTGGTATACTTAGCTTTCTTTTGCTGTCTTTCTTTTTCTACTAGGTTTTTTTTTTTTTTTTTTTTTTTTTTTTGTGAATGTTTTGTGTAGCTGTGTGTGGTGTGCGGTACCTGACCCTTTAATATAATCGTTTATTAATACACTCTTTTTTTTTTTATAAGAATGTTGTTTTTCCGGCCCAGGCTGAATATTCTTATTTTTCTGCCGATTTTAGCCTGAAAATATTCTTGTATTATTCTTAAATTATAGCTTATGACATTTCCGTTTTAGAATTTATTGGGGTATCAATTACAAGTATTTGGTATCTAAATCTGTGCTGAATACTGTACATATGTATTACACGTACCGTTCATCGAACTGTCATTAGCGTTGAACATTTTGCTATAGCTAGTGCAGGTCTTTTCGTTTCGTTGGCTAGTTTCGCCGTTCAGAGAAAGGAATAATTTTATACGGTTAAGTTAAAAACATAAAATTGTATTGTATTTACAGATGTTTCAACACACAAAATTATATCCATCCTTTTCAAAGTCTCAGCCTCGGCTTTATTCTTAAAATATTCTTAAAATTTCGCAAATTTCAGCCTCGATATTCTTATAAAATATATTCTTATATAAAAAAAAGAGTGTAACCTAAGTAAGGCTGCCCTTTCTTTTTAGCCCTCAATGGTTATTATGGGCAGCCTGTACTCTCTCTACATATTCATCTGTTTTTTTGGTATCATGTAAATCAATGTAGGGTACAGCTGGGTGCAAATAAAGTTGTTGTTGTTTCAAGCATTCATTATTATTCGACAGAGACAGACATTACACACATGGCTAATTCTCTTTATTTTGTATTCCTGCCAATATTTGAAAAAGTTGTTAAATGAGCAGCGGTTCATGTGAGTTTTATTTGCTCGTTCGTGTAATTCTTCATGAATGCCATTCGATCCGGGGCCATTCAAGGGATGTTACTCAGTACGCTTTGGCTACATGGCCGGTAACCGGTCAAGGTTTTCAAAATACTAAATGGCCGGCAGTTCTATATATTCTCAGTAAATTTCACAAAATCGAAAGATTCCAGCTAATCTAAACTATCATATGTCGATTTAGAAAAGTCAAGCGATCCTGAAATGCTCTACAGATCTCAAGCCTAGTGTTTGGTTTGCGCTGGGCTCAGAGGAGGAAATCATGTTTTGTGACACTTTGAAATTTTTTCAACTCGACTGCCGCTCAAGGTTTTCAAAACACTAAATGGCCGGCAGTTCTATATTCTCAGTAGATTTCACAAAATCGAAAAAAACCAGCCATAAGTATAAAAGTGTCCCGACATCTCTTTTCCGCGACTCACAGAGGTTACTATCATCACACCCCTGAGGCCAGGTTTTTATCTGTTTTTATCGTGCCTGGTGTCACGCCACGCTTTGGACAGAAAACAGTAACGAACATCCAAAAGACGACCAACAAAAATATGATATAGAAATCCCACAAAACCGGCTCGTTTGATCAGGATCACGACATGTTATAGTTTAGATTAGCTGGAATTTTTCGATTTTGTGAAATTTACTGAGAATATAGAAATGCCGGCCATTTAGTGTTTTGAAAACCTTGACCGGCAGTCGAGCTGAAAAGTGTCACAAAACATGGTTTAGCGTAAACCAAACACTAGACTTGAGATCTGTAAAGCATTTCAGGATCGCTTGACTTTTCTAAATCGACATATGATAGTTTAGATTAGCTGGAATGTTTCGATTTTGTGAAATTTACTGAGAATATAGAACTGCCGGCCATTTAGTATTTTGAAAACCTTGACCGGTTACCGGCCATATAGCCACAGCGTACTCAGTAACATCCGCTGAAAGGACCTTCTTGATGCGCTAAGAGGCTTGATCGAGGCGAAACATTAAAACATCCTTTCCAAACAGATGCAGCGGCATCTTCTTGGTTGAATCAACCGAGGGATGGTCGAAAAAGCAAGACAAGACCTCGAAACAAACATCAGACAAATCAGAGTGGACGATCGAGCATTTGGGAATTCAAAATCGATATTTTTTGTCTCCAGCGAAATCCGGCGGATGAACAGTAATTTGCATATAAGGGTAAGTGAAGCGAAATAGATACAAATTGCCGTGGTTGTAAACACAACGTTTACATGAGTCACAGGGAGAACCAAGAGGCGAGCGTGTCGTCATATGTTTGCACAGGGTCCAGCGGAGATGTGTTTGTCGTTAGAACATCAAAACCCGTCGAAAACCTCTGAAAAAATGGGTTATTTTGATCGCGCCATTTTCGAAAACTCCTCGAAGTTGCGCGCTTCTCTCTTCGTGACGTCACGATGGCCAAGATCGTCAGGACAAACAAACTACCAAGTTCACCCCCCCCCTGGCAGGGGCCCCCTGGGTTTGCGTTCGTTTGCGAAGGGTCAGCACCACAGGGTCCAGAGGAGTTTCGTGTGAATAAATGAATTACTTACCTTGAAAAATGTCTATACCTGTCGCTTAGCACGATTAATTAGCCCAATGGGATCTTTATAAATCTACTGTAAACGATTTCTTCGCTTCTTACCTGGCCCCTGCGCAAATCGCTATCTTGATTTGAAAAAATGTACCGCTGGCCAACCTCGTCCCCACCTAGCCCCGCCGGGCCCCGACCCGCCCCGACCCAGACCAAGCAGCCACGGTCTCGGGGTATTCACGTGAGGAAATGCACGAAATACGCACTCCCAAAAAAATGGCACTTGTGGGTTTAAAGATTTGTGCTTTGGCACTTTTTCTTCTTTTAGGAGCCGCTGCTGAAGATGAAAGAAAGCCAAATATTGTTTTTATGCTGATGGATGATGTAAGCTAGCCTTTCTTTTGCAAATTTTACGTAACTTGTAGCTGATAGCGCTATACTTCTACGGTTTCTTCACGTTTTGACGTCCTGATGGCTCAATATAAAGCGAAAATCCACCGACACCGCTAGGAAAGCGCCTTAATGTAATTAAAGCTGCAAGTTTTAGGGTGATATGTAGAAAACGCAAAGTAATGTTTGGTGATCGACTTGTCCGGGGGTACCCCCTTATATATTCAGCCTGTGCACATAGTCAACTCTCCCCTTATGGACCAGTGGCGAATCCAGGGGAGGGCCCCCCTTATTTTTAGACCAAACTGATGCTCGAAGGGCTGAAAAAAAAATTTTGTGAGACTCCCTTCCCCTTATTTGTAGGTCTAGATCTGCCACTGCAAACACCCCTCCAAGACTATGTTGGTTCCTGCCTTTTTTCTGTCATTTTACCATAACTATACTCTAAGACAGACAGCAGACACTTTTGAAACCATCAACAGACATTTGAGAGGTAGACTACGTGTAGTCCCCCATTTTTCCTTAGGGATAGTAGAGCAAGTGAAACGTGAGTGTGCGTGAAAATCACCCCATGCAAGAAAAGTGGTGGAGAAAAATGAGGGAGTACAGACAAAACCCAAGCTTTTGACTCTTCACGGCCGACCGATTTTGGCGTGTGAAAATCGTATCCCCCTTCCAAATCAATTGAGCACATCCAATGGATTCCTTCTCTCACTGAGCCGTCATTGCTCTTGTCATCAGTAAACTGTGGGGGGATATTTATTGCAAGCTAAAGAAAACCCAGATACAAATTTTCTTTACGGCTGTTTCGCATGAATAACTTGATAGTGTAGGCAACACACAACTTTTACTCATGCAATAATGCTGCTTGTTCCAGTGATTTTTTTCCTCTGACGGGTAGATTATGCTCTGAAGGAAAACGTTTTGACTGAGCAAATGTGATTTTTGCTGCTTATTTCATACTGAGAGGTCGTGACATGCATATTAATTTTCTGCTGTTATTGTTTATGGTCGGCATGATTTACCCTCTGATGCAAGAGCATTTTCTTCAGTTGACCTCTTTTGAGTAGTAAAGCTCTTCAATGCGGCTACATAAGGGTTTGGGGTTGTTTAATTTCGCCGGCAATTTCCCCCCGGATCTGAATAATTTTAAGCGATTTTCTTTTTGGCCGTGAATGTGACGGTTTCCTGCACTGTTTTGTCACGCTGTGCTCAGCTTGTTAGCATTTTTAGCAGGATAGTGATATCCAAATCTCGAAGAATGGAGAACTGCAATCTGACTCAGTCGTGACTGCTCATGAATTTTTACTGTCGCCTGTTTTTCTGGAGACAATGTGAGTCTTTGGACTGGGGTGCGTAGTTCCTCCCTTGTAAAAATTTATTAGCGATCGCGCCGCGATCGCGGCGCGATGACCGCGATCGCGGAGCGATGGCAGCGATCGCGGCGCGATTGTGCATATCGCGGCGCGATTTAAATTAATCGCGCCCGCGATAGCGACGTGGTGATCGCGATCGCGGCGAGGTTATAGCGATCGCGGCGCGGTGATCGCGATCGCGACGCGATGATCGCGATCGCGACGCGATGATCGCGATCGCGACGCGGTAATCGCGATCGCGACGCGGTGATCGCGATCGCGGCGCGATGATTTTGATCGCGGCGCGATATCAGCGATCGCTATGCAATTGAAGTAAATCGCGCTTGCAATAGCGACGCGATGATCGCGATCGCGGCGTAGTGATCGCGATCGCGGCGTGGTGATCGCGATCGCGGCGAAGTTATAGCGATCTCAACGCGATGATCGTGATTGCGGGAAGATGATCGCGATCGCGGCGCAATTTTGAAAAATCGTATCTGCGATCCCAAGGTCAGGATTGCGATGCTGGCGATGAAATCGCAATCGCGGCGAAGTTATAATGATCTCAGAACGATGATCGTGATCGCAGGAAGAAGATTACGATCGCGGCGCGATTCAGAAAAATATTATCCGCGATCTCAGAGCCAGGATTGCGATCCTGGCGATGAAATCGCGATCGCAGCGGTATTGTACTTATCGCGGCGTGGTGAACGCGATCGCGGGGAAGATAGAGCGATCGCGGCGAAGTTGTAGCGATCTCAACGTGATGATCGTGATCGCGGGAAGATGATCGCCATCGCGGCGCAATTTTGAAAAATCGTATCTGCGATCCCAAGGTTAGGATTGCGATGCTGGCGATGAAATCGCGATCGCGGCGGAGTTATAACGATCTCAGCCCGATGATCGTGATCGCAGGAAGAGGATTACGATCGCGGCGCGATTCAGAAAAATATTATCCGCGATCTCAGGGTCAGGATGGTGAAGATAGAGCGATCGTGGCGAAG